CACACACACACACATCTTAGGGTGCTCTGCGGCCCCTGTTATTCCCTAGCACCACTTGCAATGGCTTACCTCAGCAGAATTGGAACTAAGCAGAGTACTATATCTTGCTAGTATAGGGTGTAATATAGCATTCATCTCCTGTAGTTCACCTAAAACATCTGCCAGTTCTGATGGACTTCCACTAGACAAGAAATGGTCAATGAATTACTTAATATTAAATTATTTACACCACTAATAAAYATAATACTAATAGTATTTAAACTAGCACTGATAGTTTGAGAGGGGAAAATACTTAATATCAAATTATTTACACCACTAATAAATATAATACTAATAATAATTAAACTAGCACTGATAGTTTGAGAGGGTAAAAGGGGCACCTTCAAGCTCTCAACTCAACAWGTTATCAAAGAAAAATAAATTGCCACTAAAGTGCAACATACTTTTGACTTTGCGTCTGATTTGCTTGAGAATCTGAGCCACTTTCCTGCTCTGTTGATGACCTTGAGTCTGTTTCTCTTGGAGTACTACTTGTGTCCATCGGAGATGGTAACACTCCCTCACCCTGTGAATGACAATCGCAAAGCAATCAACCCTACTCCAAAGCAAGTCTATTCTTTAGTTTTCAAAATACTCTATCTTGCTTTTGTGTCAAATATTCATGTTTTCCAGCGAAGGTCAGTGGAATTTCAAAGCATTTGTGTTGTTGAAATTCTGCAACGGCTCAATATTGGGCAATTAAAAAAAGGGATTTCTTTATCTATTAAAATTATTAAACTAAACCATGTTCAACTGCTGCTCATATTGTGAATAACTTTTTTAATGCTGAAATGATCTGCTAACCCTGAGTCAATAAGTCTGTTATCAACAAGCACAGYAGTACAGTATGTATTTTGAATGAAAATAAAAATAAGATAACATAAGATAACATAAAAAACATTAACAAAATGGATTACAACTATAGGAATATATTACCTCGGCTCTGTTGAGTGAGCTTCTTGCAGCTCTCAAGAACTGTCTTGCTTTTGATATCCGTAATCCTGCATCACTGGCATTCCCCTGTCAAGTAAAGAACACTAGAAAATCAACGTAAGAAATCCAATAGAGCTGTTAGTGTGCCGTAATTCAAATGAAAAAACTTCCTGGTCCAATTTGATATTTTTTTCTGTGTTTTTCTTTATAGCAGGATTTTCTGTTCATATATCTAAGGTTGAAGGTAGAAAGGTTGAAGGTAGAGAATAAATCCTGGGAATAAGTTGTGGCAAGATTTTAGYGATCTTTTACAAGTGTGATTGGACCTGGAAATACATCACAATGTTTGAGAAAACAATGTATGGCTGGGTTTGCAGGTGACTTCAAGTCGTACTTACATTGGCTGATGCCAGTAGATTGATATGTACATTCAGAGTGGAGCCATCTCCCTAACAAGATACAAATGAATTTATTATAAATTATTTTGCTTTATGATATGACAGTTGTGATTACAGTTGATGAGTTTTTAAATATATCATCAAAGATACCTGTCCAACAAAACCATACCCAGCAAAACCCAAGACTTTCCCACCCTACCCAACCCCATACAACACCACACTCATGATTATACCAACCCCTGAACACTATATACATGTACTACRGGCTATCCCTAGTGTCTATGTACCCACCCTAGCACACCCTAGACCATTCCATACAACACCACACTCATGATTATACCAACCCCTGAACACTATATACATGTACTAC